CCTGAATGTAGGTCTGTCTCTGGAACTGGAGTTCACATGATTGTGAGTGAAACAGGTATCTTGATCCAACTCCATCCTTTCTAGGTACAATTTGACCTATAGAGAGCTAAGACAGCAGCGCTGAAAATGGTATTGGAAGAGAGGTGGCGACAACAAACCAGGGCTCAAAAATCTTTAAAGATTTATTACGTATACAATATTGTGCTGCATATACACCTGCAGGCCAGAAGAGGGCACCAGATCTCATAGATGGTTGTGAGCCACCAACTGGTGGCTGTCTTAGAGTAGGGCCTGGACAGGAGGAGACTCCTCCACATGCCCATGCTGCCCTTCCTCTTGGACTACATGATCCGGCCAACCTGATGGATCTTGAGGTGTCAGATAGGGATGTCCTTTGGAGCCTTTGGCAGACCCCTAAAGGTGGATCATGGAGACCTTTGGGATTTTTGGAACAAGGCTCTACCATCATCTGCAGGCAGCTATTCTCCCTCTAAGAAAGAGTTCATGGCCTGTTACTGGGCCTTAGTGGAGAGTGAAGTTTTTGACAATAGGCCAGGAAGTTACCCTGTGACCTGAGCTGCCTGTCGAGCTGGGTGTTCTCTGACTCACACTCCTGTAGCTGCAATCACCAATCAGAAGTGGTGTGAGTGTGAGCAGGCCCGAGCAGGTTTCAAAAGCACCTTACTTCAAGTTGCCCAAACGTCTGTGGCTCCTACTCCTGCTTCAAAGCCTGATGCCAAGCATGCACCTCATGAGGTGTGCCCTGTGATTGGTTGGACAGCTGCAGCATCACAACCCCTTTCTGGACAAACCTGGAAGAGCAGCAAAGGGAAGTCTTCAGGCAGTGCACATGATCCTATGTTTTGTTTGAAAGGAGAAATGACCAATGTGTAAATTGTTCACTGACTGTGGGCTGCGGCCCATGAGCTGGCTGTATGGTCAGGGGCTTGGAAAGAAAAGATTGCAACACTGAGGAAGACATCTGGGGAGACATATATGGATCACTACAAATGGAAGAAGGATGTGAAGATACTTACACAAATGCTGAAAGATGATGTCGCAGAGGAGAAAGTCAATCATCAAGTAGATAGGATGACCCATTCTGTAGACATTCCATGTCTCCCCAGCCGCTGTCAGTGGGCCCATAAACAGAGTGGCCGTGGTGGCAGGATGGGGTGGGCTTGACAACTCGGACTTGCACTCACTGAGGCTGACAGCTGCGGTTGCTCTTGGGTGCCAGGTCTGCCAACAGCAGAGACCAGCCACCAAGGCACACCGTTCTCTGGGGTGGCCATCTGGCAGGTCCCAGGTTGACTACACTGGACCCCTTTCTTCATGGAAAGGACAGTTGTCTTTGCTGGCAAGATTATTCTGGTTATGGATTTGCCTTCCCTATACATAATACTTTTGGCAAAACCACTATCTGTGGACATAATGCCTTCTCATCGCTGCTTTTGACCAAGAAACCCACTTCACAGCCAGAGAAGTGCAACTGTGGGCTCAGGCTCGCAGAGTCCACGGGTCTACCGAGTTCCCTCACCGTCTAAGGCAGATGGCCTGGTATCAGTGAAATGGCCCTTTGAAGACACAGCAAGAGCGCTAACGATTAGGTGGCGGCAGCCTGGAGGGTGGAGAAGGGCTCTCTGGCACGACGCATGTTTGCGTCAGCATCTCTATGTCACAGCTTCTCCCAGACCCAGGATGCACAGATCCAGGAATTAAGGCGTCTAAAAGGAGGTGGTTCCCTCACCATCACCCCTAGTGACTCAGCAGGATTTTTTTCCTCCTGTTCCTAAGACCTAAGTTCTGAAGGCCTAGAAGTTTTGGGTTCAGATGAGGAGGCCTGCCAAGAGACACAGCAAACATTCCCTTGAGGTGGAAGCTCACCTCCATTCCCCCACCACTGCCACTTTGGGCTTCAAATGGCTTAAGCCATCAGGCTAAGAAAGGAATAGGAGTTAGGAGGGCATTGATCCAAATGACCAAGAAAAAAATGAGACTGCTTCTCCACAATGGAGGTAAGGAAGACTATGTCGGGAGTGCAGGAGATCCCTTAGCACACCCCCAGTCTGTGGGTCGAGACACCTTTGGCAAACCTTTATCTCCAAAAATATTTACAATACAATTCCTATCAGTAGCAAAATTACAGTTGTGAAGCAGCAATGAAATAATTTTATGGTTGGGGTCACCATCACACAAGGAGCTGTATGACAAGGTCTCAGCATTAGGAAGGTTGAGAGCCACGTTAGGGTGTCTGTCGGTGCCACCACGTCCTGTGATTAAAGCCTAACCCAGGCAGGATGACAGTTCCGCAATGAAGGTGTGGACCTTCCTCCAAGAGAAACAGCCCAGACAAGCTGAGGGCGGAGGAAAAGCAGAAGGGATAGCAGAGGGAGTTACGGGAGCCAGCTGAGGCCACGAGGCCAGTTGCCGAGATGAGGGGGACACCTGGCATGATACTTCCGTCCTACTTTAAGAACATGTTTGTGCGATAGTCATGTTTACTAAACCACCCTTTCAGGCCTCTGTCATGGAATGTAACATTGATGGAGACCAAATCAGTGGCAAAGAGCTGGAATTACCACATTTTAATTACAAGACACTGAAATGCCAATCATTCCTGAGGGGACTTTGCCACCATGATGCACTCTAAAGTATATAACGATCTGTGGCTGTGTGTGAGATAGTTAGGTAGACCTGGTTATTGTCTTCAGTTGAAAATCAATCATGACACAAGATGGGTTGTGAGTGCCAGGCAGTGGTGGCACACGCCTTTGATCCCAGCACTCAGGAGGCAGAGGCAGGTGGATCTCTGAGTTTGAGGACAGCCTGGTCTACAGAGTCCAGGAAAGCCAGGGCTACACACAGAGAAACCGTGCTTCAAAAAACAAAACAAACAAAAAAGATGTGGTTGAGCGTTAAGTTAACAAGTGGTGGACTTGTGATGGCTAATTGCGGTTGTCAACCTGACTGAACCTGGAATCTATACTAAAACCCACGCTATTGGGCACTGCTATGAGGGGCTTTTTTTTTTAATATTATTTATTTATTTCGAATGTTCTATCTGTATGTACACCTGAATGCCAGAAGAGAGCAGTAGAAGGTATAGATAGTTGTGAGCCACCATGAGGTTGCTGGGAATTGAACTCAGGACCTCTGGAGGAGCAGTCAGAGCTCTCAACCACTGAGCCATCTCTCCAGCCCCAAGGGGCTTTTCTTAATCACGTTGCTCAGAGCATCTTAAGTCTCAGCAGCACCCTCTGGTAGCAGCCCAATTAAAGAACCTGAAGGGAGGAGACAGGTCTGTCTGCTTCCCCTCAACCTACTGGCAAGTTCTCTTGTTCTGTTGCTGCAGCATCCCCTCACCAAAATTAGAACCAGCTTCCTCAGGATTCCAACACGGACTGGATTCTCCAGGCCTCACGAGAAACTACTGGACTCCCAGTCTCTCCAGTGAGACAGCCATTGTTGGACTCTCCAGACCACAGTCTATGAGGCGATTCAGCAAGTCGTCTATTCACGTCCATGTATCTGTATGTATGTGTGTGTGTGTGTATAAACGTCTGTGTGTATGTAAACAGTCTGTGGTTCTGTTTCGTAACGCGGCAGGCACAAAATTATCCTGTTGCTACTTCATAACTGTAATTTTGCTACTGGAATGAATCATAACATCTGATTTGCAACACCCCCAAAAGGGTGGCGACCCACAGGCTGAGAACCACTGCTTTAAGGAACCCTGACTAACCCTGTGTGTGTGCCGGGCCATGCATGTGAGTGCAGGTGCTCTTGGAGGCGAGAGGCATCCAGTTCCCCTGAACTGGAGTTACATGAGTGTACACACTAGTGTTCAGGGAGGAGGACAGCAGGAGTCAGCCACCCTATGTCTTCAGACCTCACCAGTTAGAGCCAACACGGCTAACTAGGGAGCTGCAGGGAGCCTGTCTCGGCCACCCCAGGACTGAACCGACGGCGCGTAGAGCCACTCGGAGCTTTTACCTGTGTTCTGGGGATCCAACTCAAGTCCTCACGCTTGCCTTGCACGCACTTCACCAACCGAGCTATCTCCTCAGACCAGTAGTTATTTAAACCCCTACAAAGAGCCGAGTGGTGATGTCCCACGTCTTTAATCCCAGGCAGAGGCAGGAGGATCTCTGAGTCCTGGCTGGGCTACAGAGTGAACTCCAGGACAGGCAGGCCTACACAGAGATACCGTCTCCAAAACAAAACAAAACAAAAAGCAAACAAACAGACATGCACCCGCCTCCTCCCCCTCCCAAAATGCCCACAAACAGTTGTAAGGGAACCCGCCTGGGGTATGTGGCTCAAAGTTCTGCAGAAAGGCAGCGCAGTTAATGCCAGGGCCTTCCAGGAGGCGCTTCCCAAGCTAGCTGCCATCTTCTGTGTGCGCTGGGAGCATGCAAACCTTCCACTGGAGGCCTTGGAAAACTGGAGTCCATCTCCCAGGCCCTGGGAGGCGCGCACCAAGGTGCCTGAGCAGCAGAGGGCGGAGCTTGCACGCTGACGTAGAGTCTGAGGCGTTCCTTGTTCGTTACAAAGTTGGCTTCTGAGCCTAACGGAGGTACTGATCTCAAACCTGAACCTTCTGCAACCTCAGAGGTAGAGGGCAGCGCCTACCTGTGAAGGGAAGCGTCTTCGGGCCTGTGGTGCTGAGGAGGGGAGGAGCCTGCTGCAGGGAGGGAGGAGCTTGTCTCCTCAGTTGCCTCCCTCTGCCTATGCAAGGCTGCCCTTAGACCAGCATTCCAGCTAAGGAACTTTTGGGCTTCATAGTCCCTGTGCTCCTAGACAGGTATGGTGACACAGGCCTGGAATCTCAGCACTCTGATTGGCTGAGGCCGTTGGATTGCTGTGGGTTCAAGGCTAGCCTAGACTTCCTGGCCAGCCCTAGATACAGTGTGGAACCCGGCCTCAGCTCCGCTCCGCACCGAAAGAGAGTTGTTTGATGTCCTGACCACAGAGGTGGGTGTCCACTGAAATTTTCTCCTGTTTTCAGGCTCAGCATGTCCACTGTCAAGGAACAGCTAATTCAGAACCTGACTCAGGAAGACAAAGTCTCCCGCTGTAAGATCACGGTGGTGGGGGCTGGAAATGTCGGCATGGCGTGTGCTATTAGTATCTTACTGAAGGTAAGGGGTTAAAGGAAATCAAATAAGCTCTCTCAGTTAGGGTGGTACGGCTGCTCCCTTAGTGGCACGACACACACACACACACACACACACACGAAAATAAAAATGTAATCTCTAAAAAGTTGTAAAGGTACAATTCTACAAAATTCTTAGGATTCTGTAAAGGAAAAGCAGTTGATACTTTCTCCTCCCTTCTACTGTTAGCCGACTTCTAGTCACTTGTGCATATTCAGCAACTATAGTTTTGTCTCTTTTGTCCTAATTAAAAAAGACAAGATTCTCTGGGTGGTCATGGCGGCACACGTCTTTAATCCCAGCACTCAGGAGGCAGAGGCAGGTGGATCTCTTGAGTTCAAGGCCAGCCTGGTCTACACAGTGAACTCCAGGACAGCCAGTGTTACACAGAGAAGCCCTGTTTTGCAAAAACAAAAACAAACCAAAAGCCCTACAAGATTCCTTTGGTTATAAAGTGGCCATATAAAAACTCGGACTCAAGGCCTCCCCCCCACCCAGGGCAGGCACTTTGCTAGCTCAGCTCCACACTCAGCCCTAGACACGGTATTCACAACTTCTGTGTGTTTCAGGACTTGGCCGATGAGCTTGCCCTTGTTGACGCTGACGCAGACAAGCTGAAGGGGGAGGCCCTGGATCTTCTGCACGGCAGCCTTTTCTTTAGCACTTCAAAGATCGTCTACGGAAACGGTTAGTTTTAGTTTTATAACGTTACTTGTAGAGCTTTGTGGAAAGTACTGACGTTTTATGTGTAATATTTGGACAATTTGTAATCCCAGCACTTGGGAGGTGGAGGCAGGAGGAAGATCAAACTCAGCTACACACTGAGTTTGAGGCCAGCCTGGGCTACATGAGACCTGTCTCAAAAAATAAAAAAGGTAATTAGTTTTACCAAATTGACTTCAATAAGTATATAGTTAAAAAAACCACTGTCAACAGGACATAGAATTTAATTGTACCTATGTATCATTTTAATACAACAATCCTGTTCACTTATTTTGAGATGGAATCTTACTCTGTGGCCATGGTGGGCCTGAACTCACACAAACAGGACAGCTTCTGCCTCCTAAGGACCAGATTAAAGGTGTGTGCTACCAAGCCCAGAATAAAGGCTTAATTCATTAACTGTTTTTGTTTTGAAACAGAGTCTCTCTGTGTGGCCTTGGCTGTCCTGGACTCACTTTGTAGACCAGGTTGGCCTCAAACTCACAGAGATCTGCCTGCCTCTGCCTCCTGGGTGTTGGGATTAAAGACATGCACTACCATACTTGGCAAGCTTTTTTCCTTTTAAAAATGTTAAGCTACAGTTGGGCGAGTTTTGGAAGACAGAAAATACAGAACTCCTTGGGAGATGGCGAGGCAGCCCAGTGGTTGGGAACACTACTGCCCTTTTTGAGGACCTGTGTGTGCTCACCAGCACCCGCCCCATGACTCACAAGCACATGTAATTCTAGTACCAAGAGATGGAGGTCCTCTTCCAGACCGCGCAGACTCTGCACATGTGTGGTGCAGAAAATAGCAAGAGAACCGTCTCAACATGACTGGCCCTCACGGTAGCTGCTTAATCTAAAAGTGTCTTAGAAAGGCACCGCAAACATTTCATACTGACGCAGACATGTCGATGTCCCTAGAATTTGACGATCTATCTCTCTATCCTCTACCTACTCACCTATCTCTATCATTACTGTGAAAGACCCCAGCCTCACACTAAGTTAAACATAGCTAACGCCATTTTGTGGGACACCACTGTTTTGTAAAACTCTGAAGGCCAGATGAGAAACTGGAAAATTACTGAGAAATCCTAGCTGTGTCACCCATTTGGGATATCTGTGGTCAGGCTGCCCCAGTCATACTAAAAACAGTTTGTGTTAATCACCCTCATAGATATCTGTGAGACTGTTTCAGTTAAGATAGAAAAAAACAAAATAACAGGTGGCGGGCCACGTCAAGGGGTCATCATAACCCCCTTGACCACCCAGTTCCTGAAATCTTGGTGCCCCTGCCAAACTTTGACGCAAATTGTGGTCTCGTGTAAACGTACCAATCAGCCCCCTGTAACCATGCCTCTCGCTTCTGTACCAGTGCTTCTGCTCTAAAACCCTATAAAAACCCCAGCTTCCTACCTGGGGGGCGCTGAAGTCTCCCGAATGACTTTTCGCCCCGGGTACCCGTGTATCAAAATAAAAGCCTCTTGCTGTTTGCATCCGAATGGACTCCTTGTTCCTTGGGAGGGGGTCTCTCTGACGGAAGATACCCTCCGGGGATCTTTCAACTGTTTTGTTTTTTGAGATAGGGTTTCTCTGTGTAACTAGCTGTCCTGGAACCTGCTCTGTGTGCTCCGCGGCACGCGCGCGCGCACACACGCACACACACGCACACACACACACACACACGAATATGAGTGATATGTGTAAGAGCACTCAGAGTAGCTGCTAACTGAAAAGTATCTAATGTTTAGTAATGCTAAGCAAACATTGTGTCACTGGAGTTGGATACAGAGGGTGACATACTTTCCAGACTAATAATTCCATTTAGGAAGTGTAAGTTGTTTGTTTTCTCGTACGGATTAAGATCTAACTTATTTGTAATATCAAATATGGGTCCTCATCATAATTAGAATCTATTGTTGCCTTTAGAGTCCTAAAACAGACATGGAAATTCTCAGAATTCTAAGCTTCTAATTCATTTGTATACTCTGAAAAGCCCAAGTGTTGGGGATGTGGTTCAGAGGTGGCGCTGCCCTGGGTTCAGTCCCAACAGCACATAAAAGCGAACACCGAAGCCAGAGAGCTGCTGGTCTCTTGCCCTGGGTCTTACTGACAAATAGGAATGTGGGTTGAAGGGAATGGCAGATTAGGAGGTGGCCATGTGAAAGCTGGCAAGCGGCAACAAGCCTTGTGTGGCTTATGCAAGATGCTGCAGTGTAGGGAGTCTGAGTTCTTCAAACCCAACAGAACGGGATGGACACTCAGGGCCTAGTGGTTGGCACTCCTGATGGAAACACTGTCTTCTGTTTCCTCCTTAGATTACAGTGTATCTGCCAACTCCAAATTAGTTATCATCACAGCTGGTGCAAGGCAGGTAGTGGGAGAAACGCGCCTTGACCTGGTCCAGCGAAATGTTGTTATCATGAAATCCATCGTTCCTGGCATAGTCAAAAACAGTCCCGACTGTAAAATAATGATTGTCTCCAACCCAGGTAAGGAGCCCCCTCTGAATGATGACTGATCCGTGGTTTATAACCACTCTGCTTTAAAGGTCACTAAGGTTGCATTTGTGGGTAAGAAGCTTTGGTCACCCCACATCTGCCATGCTGTGAGTTTGGTAGATGCCACCGCGGTAAGATCTGGAGTAGCTCTGGTACCTCTGCAGGCTGTGTGGTCAATTGTTGTTCATCCCTCCTCCTACCGCTTGACTCGCTTCCTGGAACTTCATAAAACAAAAAACAAGGCAGAAAACAGTAGTGAAGCAAACCTTTCTACGTAGCCCCTTTACAGTGCAATTATTTTGGTTTCATTTCCGTCTGGGATGTGTAAGGCATTTGCTCCTTTGCATTGCTGGAGTCTCCTGTTTATGCTTCTGTGTTATGAGCATTGCTAGGATCACAGGTGTGTACCACCACCAGCCAGCATGGTTTTTCAATCTTTCCTGCCTCCCTCCTTCCCTCCTTGCCTGGGCATGTCTTCAGTACCCAGCTCAGCAGCTTACGGCTGTGCCTTAGCCATCACTTCCTGCTTGCTCAGAGTTTCAACCTCAAAGCAGAGTTGACAGGATCTTTCTGTGTTGCACACACACCTGCAGGCCATTCTGGCTGTGTCCAGAATGATGTGTTCTAGGTTACACTTTGAGAGCCTAGGTGAGGATGCGGCAATGGAAAGGAGAAATCCAGAAGGTTAAAGAAATGTCTGACCCGTTCGTTATTAAATTTGCAGAAAAGCCCATAGAATCTCTAAGACGATGTTTTAAGATTCTATTAGTGAATTTTTTTTTTAATTTTTATTTACCTTTATTTTATGTGCATTGGTGTTTTGCCTGCATGTATACCTGTGTGAGAGTGTCAGATCTTGGAGTTACAGACAGTTGTGAGCTGCCATGTGTGTGGGTGCTGGGATTTGAACCTTGGTCCTCTGGAAGAGCTGCCAGTGCCTTTAACCACTGAGCCATCTCTCTAGCCCCGTGAATGATTTAATATTAAAAAAAACAAACAAACCTGAGTGTGCCTACCTTCTAAATTCACTGTACTTTTCACTCTAGGGAATCTGCATTTGACTCCAAGACAATTTATCTGTTTAGAAAAGCAACTGTGAAGGCAAACTGCTGGGGCTGGAGCGATGGCTCAGAGGTTAAGAGCACCATTTGTTCTTCCAAAGGTCCCGAGTTCAATTCCCAGCACCCACACGGTGGCTCACAGCCATCTATAATGTGATCTGATGCCTTCTTCTGGCATGCAGGTGTACATGCAGATAGAGCACCCATACATAAAATAAATATATCTTGGGGGAGAGAGAGACTGCTTTGGATCTTCCTCAAACACCGTTTGACATTGCTGCTCTTCCTAGTGGATATTCTGACGTACGTGGCTTGGAAGATAAGTGGCCTCCCTCCAACGCGTGTGATCGGCAGTGGCTGTAACCTCGACTCTGCCCGTTTCCGTTACCTGATTGGGGAGAAGCTGGGCGTCCACCCTTCAAGCTGCCACGGCTGGGTTCTTGGAGAGCACGGAGACTCCAGTGGTGAGTGTGAGCCCAGCTGCAGTGCAAGCGCCCTTCCCAGGCCCTGCCGACAGGGCTGCATAATGTTCATTCGGTTACTTTCTTTGGTGTATGTTTTTTTCAAGGACAGGTTTCCTGACTCCCAGGCTGACCTGGCGTAGCCGAGGATGACCGTGAGGTTTGCTCCCCCTCTGCCTCTGCTCCCCAAGCACTCTCTTACCAGTAAACTGTCCCCAGCCTGAGAGCACTAAATTGCTAGCTACTCTGTGAGCGCACGAGCACTTGCCGTGCACACAGCGAGGTCTGTGAGCCGCCTCTCATGTCCCTCTTCTCCTTCCTTCCCAGGATCTCAAAATCTCCCTTCTCTACTTTCCCACGTCAGGTTTTTTAGACTTTTTATTTATTTATATTTTGTTCATTTATATATTTGGTTTTACCAGACAGGGTTTCTCTGTGTAGCCCTGGCTGTCCTGGACTCCCTGTAGACCAGGCTGGCCTTGAACTCACAGAGATCCTCCTGCCTCTGCCTCCCAGGTGCTGGGCTCACGGGTGTGCGCCGCTGCGCCTGGCTGACCTCATATTTAAGTGACATGATTTCCTGTGCTATATTGCTGACCACAACTCCCTGTTCCACTCACATTATCATAAAGGACAAGATCGGACTCTCTTGAGGCTGAGCACTATTGCACCACACAAACACGCACACACACACACACAGAGCACTTTTTCAGTTCTGATGGACTTGTCTCTGATTGCAAGTCTTGGAGGTCCGTGCTCTGCTGTGCTGAGCACGGTGGGCAGCTCTTGTCTTCCATAGACTGACCTCGTTTCTTCGGCTGTGTTCCGTGCCCAGTCATGGGATGCTGGATCAGACAGTAATTCCAGTTCCGTGTCGTTTTCCACACACACGGATGTACAGACTCTGTTCCCATCAACAGGGCTTGAGTGTCCCCTTTCCCACAGCCTTGCCTGGCATTTCTTATCTCCTATCTTTTGACAATAGTCACTCTAATTAGGGACAGAGAATCTCATTGTGAGTTTGTTGTATCTTTAGCTTGTTTTTGCTTTGTTTTGAGCAAAGGATTCATTCTGTAGCCCAGGCTGACCCGGAACCCACTGTGTAGCCCAGGCTGTGCAACTGCTCTTCTAAATGGAGTGTGGCCTCCCCACAGAGACTGACCATACCACATCCTGTGCCTCGCAGAGGCTGCCCTCTTCACCGTGTCAAGCATGACTCTGATCCTGGAGGCTGAGGTGCCCCTCCTGCCTCAGTCTCCCAAGTGCCGAGATTACAGGAGGAGCCACCACAGCTGACTCCCAGGGCTCTGATTTACACTGCCATCTTCAGTGATGTGTCATTTTCCTGTTGGCTGTTTATGCACCCTCTTCACAGACGTGCAAGTTCAAATCTTCTGACCCCTACGGACAGGTGCATTGTTCTCGTCACTGACATGTTTTGAGTTCCTTATAGTTTATAAAATTTGAGCCCTTTATCAGACATGTTACTTACAGGTATTTTCTTCTGCTCTATGGTTCATCCACTCTGTTATTTATTGATATACTCCCATTTAGTTTATTTTTGGAGGGGACGTTTGGTGTGTGTGTGTGTACATGTGTGTAGGCTCAAAGCTGATGCCAGGCATCTCTTCCCATCGCTTTCCACCTTAAATATTGTGAGTCAAGTTCTCCCACTGTACTTGGTGCTCTGCCAATCCCACTGGCCTATATAGCCCGCTTGCCCGGGATGCCCTGTCTCTGCTCTCTCGTCTACATGAAGGTGTTTGGGTTTCATCCCGTTCCTTACAGAGTTTGTCTGAGAGTCTGTGAGGCTGCTTGCTTCTCTTCAGCTCTGTCCCTGTGGGAAGTGTGGTGTTGGTGGGCAGCTCTTTCTCCTCTGATTGATAGCGTACTTCTTGGTAATCCTTGTCTTTGTAGATTCCACATTCGTATATTGCTTTAAAATGCCTCCTGTACCGCAGTTACAAATACTTCAACTATGTGTTTTCTAATATTATTTCTTGTAATTTCCCCTTCTGTCCAATTACAACTTATCTTGGGAGCTGGAGAGATGGCTCGGCAGTTAAGAGCACTTGTTCCTTGCCACCTGTAACTGCAGCTTCAGGGGACCTGAAACTCTCTTCAGGGCCCTGCTGGCCCTTATGTGTACAAGCCCACACACAGACACTTGTGTGCACCTAAGGAAGAAGCACAAAATACAAACAAGCAAAAATAAATCTTAAAAAAACAAGAGAATCCCTAATATCTTGTTTTTCTCTATGATGTGAGATAGCATCCTACATTAAAATACAAACCAGAAATTCATCCGGGTGTGGTGGTGAACACTTGTGATGCCAGCACTTAGGAGCTGAGGCAGGAGGACTAGGAATTTGCAGACATCCTCAGGTACATAGGAAGTTCAACATTTCCCACCAACCATAGTCCAGGGGTGGTGATGTATGCCTAAAATCTAATAATTTGGGGGTGGAGGTATGAGTGGAGGCAAGGGGATCCGGAATTTGAGGTCATCTTTGGCTACACATTGAGTTACATGACTTAAAACAAAGAACAAATCTGTAGTCATCACTAGCCAGGTATGGTAACTCATGCTTGCCATCCATCACTGGGGCAAAGGCAGGAAGACATGAGTCTGAAGAGAGCCGGGGCCTAACAGAGCAGAATCTCCACCACTGTCCCCACAACAGAGCACCCCAGCAATGGACTCCAACAAATGTTGCGCCTGTTTTTAAACTCTACTTTATTTGGCTTGTTTAAGCCTCTACCTCTCTTCCACCAACCCTTTAACCCTAGGTGAGAGAGAGAGACGGTTAGTGGGGAGAGGGGACACAGATCCCTTGACTTCTCCTAGCTGTTTAGGGTAGATGGGTTCTTTTGGGTGGGGAGAGGGGGCGCAGACCCCTTGACTTCTCCCGGCTGTTTAGGGTGGATGGGTTCTTT